TGTTAGGGTCCCGTCCCCTGGGCACCTGGGTTCACCCTCACTAGCCCTGCGAGGCCACTTCTCCAGCAATTCTCTGCCACTTGGTAGGTAAGGGAATATGTCATGGTGTAATCGGTTATGCCAGCAGCGAGGTCAGACATCTTGTATGATGCTTGCCTTTGTCGTATTTAGTATTTTACGTGCTCTGTGCTCAGTGGATGGAAAACTCATGCCCCCTGTGTCTCCGAGGCAGCTGGCAGCATCTTGCAAGGCACAGTGTGCCAGGACTGCCTTTTTCCTTCGTGTCTTGTGATGCTGTTGCTTGGTCTGTGCATCCGCTCTGCCCGCCCCACTGTTCCTTCAGGTGTTGCTTGTTTGCCTCTGAATAGCAAACACTTCAGCACCCAGATAGGAGAGTGGGTGCCCATGTGCTGGCGCTCTTGGCGAGCTGTAGCTGGCCTACAAGAGTTTTACAATCAGCGCTTAATCAGCATAGGTGTGTGGGGCAAGCGCTGGGTTGAGATGACCACAGGGCTGCTCTCTAGAGAGGTGGCCGGAAGCTGTAGCAGTCCCAGCTATGGTCTCTTCCTGAAGGGACAGGGACCAGAGCAGGTCTGGGTGGGCGGCCAAGGGGATCCCCTGCCTGGAAGTGGACAAGGAGCACAGGCCTACTGCGGTGTGGCTGAGGCTCAGACACCTGTCCAAGCACCGACCAGCATTGGCAGCCCAGCTCTCCAAATTTGGAGACTTAATCCTGCACCCTTGAATCCAGTATGAACTCGAGGGATGGGATGGACGACCTGAGTCCTGGCCACTGGGCGCTGGTCACACTGCCGCCGGGCTGCCCTGGGAGGGGCCTTCCCTGTCTCTGACAGTCCACAGCCACGTGGGAGCCAGCTGGCTCCTGACTCACTCAGGGAAGCTCCGCCCTCTCCCGACTCACTCCTGCACGTCCCTACAGCCTTGACCCTGCTCACTCAACTCCCCAGAAGTCGCAGCCTCCCTTCTTCCCAACCCTTCCTCCCAACTCCTCCCCCTGTGCTCCCCTCCACCCCGCGCTGCTTCCACCCACCTGTGCGGCCCGCTGGCAGCCTAGCCCCTACCCCTCTGGCTGCCGGGTTTGACTTCCCAGCAAAGCTCAGTGTGCACGGCTCCTCCCTTCTTCCTTGTGATCTGCGTTTCTCCCCTGGTTACTCAGCATCCACACCCATGGCCACCGGATAAAATCTGTCGCCTTGCCCCAGTCACTTTTCGAGGTCAGCACCGGCTGCAGTGAGGGGCAGCTCCCACCAGGCCCAGCTACAGTGCTCTGCTCCAGGGCTGCCTGCAGCACAGTGGGTTCCCCCTCATCCCCTGGCTCCCTACTGTGCACCTAAGTGGGGTTCATTCCTGTTCTTCACCCATTTCCAGGGGCTTTCAAGCACTCTGGACCCCAGGCCAGATGACCCAGAAGGTCTTGCGGACAGTGGCAAGGAGGTCACTTAGCCCAGCCAGCTAACCTGAGATAAGACCAGGTGACGTCAATTCCATGACATCATGTGAGACGATGAAGAGGGAACGGGCATGACTGGGAGTGGAACTGGATTGTACCTGTTCTGGGTGTCCCAGCAGGTCCTCCGAGGACTGACTCACCTGGGGAAAGGGGAAAGGCTTCGGGCAGCCTGGAGCTGCAGGGAGCGGCTGCAATGTACCCTCCCAGTGATGCTTCAAAGCCCTGCGCCTCATCCACACCGGGCTTATCAGGGGAATCAGGTTCATCGGCCTGTCAGCCTTACATCCACTCAACTTCTTTTTATTATTCTTACAGAAGTTTACTTGCCTGATGTTCTGAAGTAGAGGAGCATGCAGGATCCCCAGGACTTCCTATGTAGTCACCCCAGCCTAGCGAGAAGGAGCCAAACTCACCACTTCCAGGTGTTGCTGTGGGGCTGATTCCTGCTCTGTGACCTGCCACAGAGGCCTCTTGGCTGTGGCTGGAGTGGGCGCACATAAAATATTTATCAGCTAAATGCCTGGCGCGTCCCTGTATGGGTACCTTCTGCCGCTGTGGCTGACTTACTTGGACCTGTTGCTCTTGCTTTACTAGGGCTCCCCTGCGGTCACTTTCAGGGTCTGTGAAGTTGGGTCTAGAGTCTGGCACGGCTCCTGGACCTCACAGGAGTGTCTGCATTTTGGGCTTCCCATCTCTCCCCAGCTCATGTTTGGATGGGCAGCTGGGAAACTGTTTCCTTATAGCCCTTGGAATTGCAGATCTGATGCTGTGTTGGGGCGAGGGTGGAGGCCAGGAAGCCAGTCTGTCTAAGGCAGTGTCTCTGACTCGGCCTATTAAACACTAAAGGGACAGAGAAGGGTTTGAACGCAGTGTTGGCATGCTCAGGACTTGGGAACGACAAAGTGCAAGTGCTGGGAGGAAGTGTCCTGTGGTGGGGGACCCCACGTGTCTTCTGTCCCACAAGTCCTGCGCGCCGAGAAGCCACGAGAGGATTCGGGAAGCATTTCCCGCAGACGCCTGGCCTTTGGGGAGACTCTCCAAAGCAGCCGAGCTTTCTGCCAAAGCATCCAAAGCAACTTTGCCCTCTCCCTCAAGTGACTGCAGTGGCCAGCTTCTTCCCTGAAACAGGAAGCTGGAGCTCCAGTGATAAGCTTAGCCCTCCTAGTCACCCCACCCAGGGAACCCCAGCTCTTGCTTGCACACCTCAGTGGCTGAGTGTGTGTGGCCTCTTTCAGGCTCCCGCAGGCGGTGACAGCCCCGAGACGCCTCCTCTCTCAGCCTTAGCTTCTGCCTAGCATCCCCTGGCTGCTGTCCCCATGTGACCCAAATAAACATGATCATGTGAAGCCAGTAAGGCTGTTTGTTTTAAATAGCAAGCATCTCCTCTAAGCTCTGGAGCAGATGGGGTACTGGGGGCCCTGGGGAGGCTGCCAGCAGCCAAACCTGTGCTTGCCCCACTTTGATCTCCTGCTCCCACCCCCCAGGAAAAGCTGTCTTCAAGAAGAGGCGTCTGCTTAGTGTGGGTCCCAACAAGGAGAGTTAGAAGCCTCCATCCCCAGAGCCGCACGAGGGCATGACCACCTCAGGAGGGTGTTTGTGTCCGCTCAGTGCCCCCCCCAGTGCTGACCCCAGGCTGGCCGGCACAGGGGTCACCTAAGCTCCCTAGCCCCCACACCTCAGGACTTCTTGTTGTCTGTGATCATCCAGGGTGGCCCAGGCCCTAGAGCACCTGGCAGCAGGTGGCAGAGCCCTAACAGGCCAACACAGGTGTCACTCTCTCAGGACCGGCGTGCTCATCCCACAGCAAACACTGCCCCACTCTGCTTCTGCCTCATCTGAAGCCCAGGCCACAGCACTGGGGCATTGAGGCTGCCAGGATCACACTCACCTTCACCACATCCCTGATTTCCAGGGTTTCACCCCGGGATGTGCTGTGGAACCCTCCAAGGAGCAGAGCCTGGACCAGCCACCCTTGGCCTGGGCAAACCTATGGCAGTTCTCTCCTCCAGGAAGTCGGCCAGACTGGGATGGGCTGGGGTGTACCCCTAGGGGTGATCTCCCCGCTGTGCTCAGTAGGCTTTGCTTTTTCATTGTGCACTGGTGAGGCGGAGCCTTGGGGTCACGCACTGCTGTACTTGGAGGGGCCCTGGCCCCGACCCCTGCACCACAGATACCCGCCAGGGCGTGCCACGGTGCCTCTGACTGGCCAGGTGTGTCCTTCCTAAGTGCGCCCCAGCGCTCAGTGTGGCCCCCGCCAGACAAGCACAGGGCAATGACCTTAGGCAAGTCCTCTTCACGGCTCTGAGCCCCAGGATCCTGGTCTCTGAGAGGAGCTGGGCGAACTTCCCCGCTGCGCTAGGGACCCCGGGAGGCGGCGGGCGAGCGCTCCAGCCCGGGTCCCAGTCCCGGTGGGCAGCGCGCCGCCAGCCCGGCTCCCGCGCCCCGCCCGCGGCCTCGGTGGCCCTGGAGGGGCCGGGTTTCCGCCCTCCACGTTGTTGTTCCCGATCTGAGCCACGCCCCCCTCGGCCCCAGCTGCGGACGCTTGGCCGTGCCCGCCCTCGCCCCCGGAACGCAGGGTGGCCCCTGGGGTGGCCCTGCTCCAGTTTCCGTCCCTGTCAGGCGCGCATGGACAAAGACACGCGGGGGCAAGAAAGGGAAACAGAAAGATTTGACTTTTCCTGGAAGGGTGGCGAGAAGTAAAAGGGCAGGCCAGGGCAGGACGGCGGGGATCCCGATCGGCGTGCTACCCAAACGTTCCCCCGGTGGCCCCGTCTGCACCCGCGGCTGCGCCCCTGCAGACACTGGCCCTTTAAACGGGAGGCTGGCGGCGCGGGGTGTCCATGTGGAGCTGCTCCATGCCGTGTTGTTCTGCCCGCCCATTGGCCTGCGGCCCGATGACGTCTCCTAATAGGATGCGAACGCACTGCGGGGGGAGGAACGGAGGGAAAACGCGGAGCTGGACGGCGGCTCCGCTCCGTCCGCCGGCGCTCGGGCGGGTTCCCGGCGCAGCTCCGCCCCGGGGCGGGGAGGCCGCGCGGGTCGGGGAGCCGGGCCTCGCGCCAGGCCCTGCCAGCCCCGGGCTTCCCTTCCCCGAGCTGCGCTGGGCTTCCCTGGCAGCCGCGCGGGTCCCGCGGCCCCTGCCGCCCCGCTCCCACCCGGGGCGGAGCCGAGCGGGAAGGCGGAAAGGCGGCGCGCACGGCCGCCCGGCCCCCGCCCGCCCGCGCCCGGGCCACGTGTGCGCGCGCCGGCCCCGCGGGCGGGGGCTCCGGTCCGGGCTTTGGCGGCGGCCCCGGTGTAGTAGCGGGGGCGGCGGCCGGGGGCAGCGCGGCTCCTTCCCTTGTTGTGTGTGTTGGTGCCTCCTCGCCATCTTGTTGCAAAGCCCTTTCTTGTCGGCGGGACTCCCGGGGGCTGCGGGGCGGGAGGCACTGGAAGGGAAAGAGGAAAGGGGAGGGAGAGAGAGCGGGAGGCCGTGGTGCCGCCCTTTTAAATTTTTTTTTTTTTGCATCCATTTTTTTTAATTTGCAAATTTATATTTTGCAAATTTGGGGGAGAGAGACATTGATTTTTTTTTTTTCTTTCCGCCTGTGCTTTTCTCCACCCCCAGCCCCCTGTTGCGGCTCGTGCGGAGCGCGCCGCCCAGCCCTGTCGCCCCCCGGAGGGGATCGCGCCCTCCCGCCGGCCCGCCAGCCTGACCCGTGCCTGGCTCGCGGGCCGCAGCCTCGGCCCCGGCGCGCCCCCGGCAGCTCGCGGCGCGATGAGCATAGAGACGCTCCTGGAGGCGGCCCGCTTCCTGGAATGGCAAGCACAGCAACAACAGAGAGCACGTGGTGAGCGGCCGGGCTGGGTCCCCGGGGCGGCGGGGCAGGGGAGGCGGGTGACCCCGGCCCGCCATGGACACCCCCAACCACCTCCTCCTGCCCGGGCGGCCTGCGGAGCCGGACGTCGCGCGGTTGCCCGCGAGAGGCGCCGCCCGAGGAGGAGCGGTGTGGGCAGTGAGATTAACTAATGAATTAATTAACATGCAGCGAGGGACCCCGCTCCTGCGGGCACCCCCCCAAACCCGGGGCAGCTTCCACGGGGAACTCCTGGGTTGGCAGCAGCGGCCGGGGCGTGGGGGAGGTAGGGTTTGGGGTGAGGCTGGTGCTGCGTAGGGGGGTGGCAGACCCGCGGTGTGTGCGTGCGAGTGTGCATCGGGATGTGCGACGGGGGGCCTCGGGACGAGCGAATGAACGGCGGTGTACACGGGCGTGTGAGTAGCACACGAGTGGGCGTGTGTGTAACGAGCGGGGGGTGGGGATTACTCTACGCCGAGCAGCCAGCTCTCCGTCTCCCTGGCCCCGCGCGCCAGGAGGGTGCGGGGTGGTGGTGGCGGCGGTGCGCTCCCGGCTCATCTACGCGCCGCTCGGGGCGGAGGCGGCCCTTGCAGAATGAAATGACAACGCGTGTCTTATGATCCGGGCCAGCCCCGCCTGACCCCGCCTCCCGGGGCTGGGCTGGGGCTGAGAGCCGGGGTGACCGCGGTGCCAGCGGAAGGGCGCACGGAGCGCTGGGGGGAGCAGCCCCGACCCCCCTGGCTGCGCCCCGCTGTAGCCGGTGTGGAATGTGGCGTGTCTGCGCGTTCCAAACCCGCTCTCGGCTGGAATGTTGCGTGTGCCTGCGTTCCAAGCCCGTTGGTTACACCGGGCGGTGACGTGGGCCGGCCCCGCCCCCGACCACGTGCACGGGGGACACTCCCGCTGGGCACGGCGCTGCCCGGCCCCTCCTCGCCGCCTCGCTCTCGCCGGGGGCGGGGCCTGGGCGGGGCCGGCGAGCGGCCTCGCGCCGGGTTGGGCCCCTGCCCGGGCCGCTGGGCACCCGCCGGGGAGGGCCTTTGCCCTGTGGAGGCGGAGCTGAGCCCACCTGTCGGCCGTCGCCCCGAAATCTCCTGGGTTTTGATCCAGGTTGTTTGATGTGGGGAACCCTCAGAACCGCAGGGACACCAGACATTTGGAGCTCTTTTCCCTGACCCCCAAAACGTCCTCGGCAGGCCTGTCGGCAGGACTCCCGACTGCCCGCCATGTGTTAAGGGGCTAGAGCCTGGCTGGGAAGGAACGCACCCTGGCGCGCCCTCCCCAGGAAGAAGGGATCGAGCTGCCTACTCTCCTTGCGCGCCCTTGTCCGCCAGTGGCCCCAGAAAGAGGCTGAGGAGGGGGACCTCCAGCGCCACAGCCCTGGGGTGCTCTGGAGATCCAGGGACTCCTACCCCCCACCCTAACCCCGTCCCCCAGAATCTCTTTGCCGGGCTGTGGGCGGCGGAGAGTGCTTCGCCCGCCTTCCCTTTCTGTCTGTCTATTGTTGCTTCAGTGATGAGTCATGCAGGAGGTAGTATGGGGGGGTGTGTCTGTGCGCGCGCGCGCCCGCACCCTTGCGCGCTTGTGCGCCCCTGCAGCTGGTGCGGCTGCACGGCAGGAGGGGAGGGGAGCAGCGGTCAGGAGGCGGGGGAGCTGTGGACCTGTAGGGCCTCTCAAGGTCAAGAGTCACTAGAGCTGTGTGAAACCCAGATGCTTGGGTTTTGTGGAGCTGATGAGCTCCCAGGTTCCTGCTTGCCTTTGGGGTCAGGGGCAGGGCCAGGCAGTAGTCAGCGCTGGAGGTGGGCATAGTACCTGTGGCCCAGTGCTGGAAGATAAGTCTGCATGCTGCAGCCGGGCAATGCCTTTGGGTTCCCACTGTGCACCAGGTGCTGTGCCAGGGGCCTGCAGGGTTGAACCTGCCATGGCCTACCCTCCCCTTTTCCTCCTCCTCTGGTTTGCCCCAGGAGGAAGGGAAGACACACACACACACACACACACCGACTCCTCCTACCTTTCCCAAAGTGAGTCAGGCCCAGAAGCTGGAAGGTGATGCTCTGGGTGGTGCTGCCAAGGAACCCAGGAAAGCCTTTCTCTAGGAGGGTGCAAAGGCCTACCCAGTCATATAGCCTCTTGGACCCAGAGGTCTCGGGATGGGTGGGCACTACAGAGCTGAATCTCCTAGCTTTGGCATAGTGGGTCAGGCCCTCTTCCAACAGTTGAATGTCCAGAATTAATTTTCCTTTTCCTCCTGAAGTTCTGGTCCTCTGACCTGGGACAGGAAGAGTGGAGGACAGGGGGTGGCACATGAACCTGTTGACCAGAACTGCCTTGCTGTAGTATCGGCCTGACCACCCTGTCTGAATAGGCATCCTCTTGTGTGTTTCCCTTCTAGCCTCGAGGCTGGGTGTCCTGGCCTAGATCAGACAGTTTGTGCACTTGATGCACCTGACTGACGATGAGTGTGTGTGAGTATGACAGAGAGCAAGAGACAGAAGCACAAACCATTCCGTCGCTCAGCAGGAAGACTTGGCCTGGCCATTCTTAGCCCCTGGGGAACTGACCTGAGCTGGACTCTGCTCTACCTTGGTTGGAGAGGTCTGCTTGGAGTGTCCAAAGCCTCTTGACACAGACTGCAGCCAGGGCCAGTCCTTTGCCTGCCAAGACCCTTGGGAAGATTCCAGGGGGCACAGTGTTCATCCTCTTGGCAGTGGACTGCAGCCTTGGTCCCTGGACCACCCAAAGGTTCACACTAAAGTCCCTGGGGACAGGGCAGCCTCTGGCCCACAGGTGCAGCTGGGTGTTGCTCTGGAGAGAGGCCATAGCTGCTGTTGGCTTGCTTCCCCTCTCCAGGGCACTGGGAGGGGAATGATGGTGAAGGGGCAGGAAGGGTCAGATGCACTGCCCCTTGACTGAGTTGCCCTGTCCTCACCAGCAGGCAAGTTTTCTTGTGCTGGTCCACGACAGAGCTCAGCCACTCCCCCCCCCCCCCTTGAGGCCTCCCAGCATCTGGGAGGCACACCTGCCTGGCTCTGAGGAGAAGGTTGCCATCTCCCAGATGAGCTTAGGAGTTGAGCCTGTGGCTCAGTGCTTAAAGCACTGCTTGGAACACCTGCTTCCCACAGTGGAGTGTTTGGCTGAGTCCTGGCTCCCCTTCCATTCCAGCTTCCTGCCAATGGACTCCCTGAGGCAGCAGCAGATGATGGCTTGGATGCTTGGGTTCCCTGCCACCCATGTAGGAAACCCAGACTGAGTTCCTGGCTCGCGGCTTCTGGTTCCTCTGGCTGTTGTGGGCATCTGAGAAGTGAACCAGTGGTTGGGAGAGCTCTGTCTTTCAAGTAAAGCAGAAATAAATGCTTAAATAAAATAGGAGAATATGGGGTTTGACTTCATTCTGGGTTCCCAGGGCACCTGTCCATGGGACCTGGGACCCGATCTGACCCCGTGGCTGTGGAATGCAGAGCAGTGGCCCCATGGACGATTGGGAATCAGGCCCCCGAGTTTGGAGTCTTTGCCTTAGGGGTAGGTGGGAGCAGTGGGTGGGAGAACAGATAGGGTGCCTGGGTTAGGCCTGAGAAGGGTTCTGTAACTGGTACTTGACTGGCTGTGCCATTGTGGTCTGTAGGGAGTTGGCATGCAGAAAGCTGGCTTTCTCTGTGGCTGTCAGGGCTGGGAGCCGGCATCACTCCTTCCTGAGGTCTGGCTGGCGGGAGACGGAAGAGGCCTCCTGCCCGGCCACCGCTGAACTCTGACCGCTGGGAAGGCAGAAAGCTTCCCCCGGACACTTCCCCCTCCACTTCCTCCTGCAGCTCTCTGTGGGAGGGCGGGCTTGGCGCACTCCTACTTGGTCCTTGGCCAGAGGGCCTCTGGGCTAGTCAGCCTCGTTGGCAGTGTTGCCCCGCACCTGTTAGGAGTGCTTCCCGCCTGTGCCTCTGCTGGGGCACCTCCTGCCAGACGACAGGACTTGCCTGGGGACTACAGCGCTGGGAACCCTCAGGGGTCACACCCCTTCCCTGCTGCCAGCCAGTGCCTGCACACTGAAGGGGTGAATACAGCGTGTGTCTTGTTGCCTTGCTGCACCTCCACTAAGGAGCCCTACTTCTGCCTGCCTCTCTCATTTGTGCTGGTGGTGGTGGGCACTGGGGGGCAGGAGTTATGGATAAATGAGTTCCAGCACCAGAAAGGGTGGAGTGGAATCAAGTGTTTTACTGAGTGGTCCCTAAGGAAAATGGGCCTGGGAGTGGTCAGTGCCTGCCGGTAAAGTGGGGCCCTGGTGAGGCTCCAGGAGGAGTGTGAATGGAGGCAGAATGACTCTTGGGGAGCCTGAGTGGACAGCATCAGCTGCCATACCAGGAGGCTTTGCTCTGTGGCCTCCGAGAGGTCACTGTGGCTCTCTGGGCTTCATTGCCTTCGTGTGTAAAATGAAGGCCCCACCAGCTCCAGCAAGCTCTTGCGGAACCCTGTAGAGGTTCTCCAAGAGAAGCCTCTGCATTTTGTGCATGGGTCCCTGCCCTGCTTTGCCACCCGCTCAGCTGTCGCCTCTGGGCTCTGCAGCCCAGGTGCTTCCAGCTCTCCCTCTCACAGCTTGCTCCACCACCTGCTGCTTCCCCCACACCCCTACCTGGGCAGGCCCATCATTCTGGGTCCTCCTGTGCCCTGCTCCCCAGGGGCAGGCCCAGGTCTGCCTGATCTGTTGTTACGTCCCATGCTCAGGAGCCCACTGTCTGATGGATGGGGTAGGTGTCCGTGACATCTCAGGGCAGCCCCAGGAGTTACCGAGAACTGTCTGGGCTAGGGTCAGAGGACAGGTGATGCTGGGGCCCAGGGCCACTGGCCGGCCCTGCTGACACCCACCCCCCTCTCCCCACCCCACTTTCTCTCTGCGTAGAGGAGCAGGAGCGGCTTCGCTTGGAGCGGGAGCGAGAGCAGGAGCAGAAGAAAGCCAGTAGCCTGGCCAGGCTGGCCCATGCCCTCCCCCTGGAGGAGCCCCGCGTGGAGGCACCGCCCCTGCCCCTGTCTCCGCCAGCACCCCCGCCAGCACCGCCTCCACCACTTGCCACTCCAACCCCACTCACCGTCATTCCTATTCCCGTGGTGACCAACTCCCCTCAGGCACTGCCCCCACCCCCGCCGCTGCCGCCCCCAGCCCAGCCTCTGCCCCTGGCCCCGCGCCAGGCAGCCTTGGTCAGCACCCCTGGAGTCAGTATCAAGGAGCCCACCCCCCTGCCTGCCAGGCCCCAGGTGCCTGCTCCTGTGCCCCTCCTGCCCGACTCCAAGACCACCGTTCCTTCGACCAGTAGTCCCAAGCCTCTGCAGCCACTCCCCACACCCATCCTGACCATAGCACCACACCCTGGGGTCCAGCCTCAGCTGGGCCCCCAGCAGCCACCTGCAGCGACACTTGGGACCCTGAAATTGGCACCAGCTGAAGAAGTGAAATCCAGCGAACAGAAGAAGAGGCCAGGGGGGTGAGTGCGGTGTGGCAGTCGGGGCTGGTGGGATGGAGAGGAGAGCCGGCCACGCTGAGCTGTGTGTCAACGGAAGGGGCTTTGCTGAGCTGGCCCTCCGGAGGTGGACCTTCTTCCTGTGCCTACCTCCTGCCTGGCAGTGAGCTGCCCTGGTCATCTTGGTCTCTGGGGTTTCTGTGTCCTCTGACCCTCTGTGTCACTGGGATTTCCGGCATTTCCATGCCTTTAAACAAAAGCATTGGATTGTGGGCCTCCTGGAAGAGGGCCGGCTGGGGTGGCAGCTTCTGCGAGTGTGGTCGACCCAGTGTGGTCGGTTGGGTGCGATGAAGCAGCCCTCTCACTGCACGGGGAGATTGGCCCTGTGGAGAGGGTGGGTGGGGTGGCGCCTAAGCCGGGCCTGCTTTCTGAGCCCCCCGTCTGGATTTCAGGATCGGAACCAGAGAAGTCCACAACAAATTGGAGAAGAACAGGTGTGTAGGGGTTTGTGTGTGTGTGTGACAGAGACTTTGGGTCAGCCCCGCCCGCTCTCGGGACCCACCCCACCCTTGATCTCCCCCCCAAGCCACCCTCGGGTCCTCCTGCTGCACACTCCACCCCCTCCCCGGCTCCCCTCCTCCCTTCCCTTGGGCGCTGGCTGACCCCCCACTCGCTGCACCCTCTCCCCCAGGAGGGCCCATCTGAAGGAATGCTTTGAGACCCTGAAGCGCAACATCCCCAATGTGGACGACAAGAAAACGTCGAATCTGAGCGTGCTCCGCACGGCGCTGCGGTACATCCAGGTACGGGGGAGGGGAGCGGCCGGCCGCGGCTTCCTCCCCGCTCCGCAGCCCTCCTCCCCGCGCGCCGTCTGCGGCCCCGCCCGCCTCCACGCGGGCGCTGAGCACATGGCCTGGCTGACGTCAGCGGGGCTCCCTGCCCGGGAGGGGCGGCGGCAGGGCGCGTGCGCCCGGGAGGCGGCGCGGCGCTCCCCTCCCCTCCCCCGCCCGGCGCGCCTTGGCCGCCTCGGCGTCCCCGGGGCCTGGGCGCGCGCTCGGGGTACGAACCCGGGGCCTGGGGCGCGCGCTTGGGGTACGAACCCAGGGCCTGGGGCGCGCGCTCGGGGTACGAACCCAGGGCCTGGGGCGCGCGCTCGGGGTACGAACCCGGGGCCTGGGGCGCGCGCTTGGGGTACGAACCCGGGGCCTGGGGCGCGCGCTCGGGGTCCCGTTAGGGGTACGACCCGGGGCCTGGGGCACGATCTGCGTAGGACTCGGGGCTGGTCCCCCGCTCTGTGCGTGTTTGTCGCCAGCGTGGGGAGGGGAGGAGCGCGCGTGGAGAGCGGGCCGGCGCCTCCCCACCCACAGTACCCGGGCGGGAACCGGGTTCAGTGTGGATGTGTGTCGCTCATTGGGGTGGAAAGGATCCTCAGCGTGGTCTCTGTTCTCCCAACCCCTTTGACTCCTGAACGGTTAACACCCTTCGGGGTGCGCGCGTTAGACCTGCGGTTGGAATGCGGCCGTCTGAGGGGGTGACAAATAGCTCGCGGCGAGGGAGGGGGTCCCCGAGGCTTTCAAAATGACGCCTGCCTCTCTCCTGGCCTCGGAAAACGGTCCCTTTTTGTTTTTTTTCCAAGGGGCCCTGCTATGCTTGTGTCCCCTCCCTTTGTGCTATGGCTCCTTCTGCAGTATTGGGGCGGGGTGGGGGGGTTTCTGCCAGATAAGGCAGTTGCCATGGCGGCCGGAGTTTCGGTTTCCCTGGAAACCAGCTGAGGGTTCCGCGAGCCGGGCAGTGGGGGATGGGGCGGGCGGCAGCCGTTAGGGGAATGGGAGGGATTTGGGGCTCCCTGCCGTGTGGGGCGCGGGCGGGAGGAGCCTCGGGGTCTCCCTGCCGGGGCGCTGCGGGGCGTCACAGCCCCTCGCGGGAGGAGCGGCGACGAGCATCACCCCTCGCCCCCCACCCCTCCTCCGCCGCCCGGCGGGGTCACGGCCCTGAGGTAACCGGAGCCGCCCCGGCGCCCTCCCTGCGCCCGCGGACGCGCGCCCTTCCGCCCGCCTCCAGGCCGGCTTCCCGGCGGGGCGGCAGGGGCGGGGCCGAGGCCGCGGATTGGCTAGGCCGGGCTGTGGGGGCGGGGCCCCGGCGCGCGCGGCGGGCGGGCAGTGACGCAGCAAAGCCGGTCCGCGTGGGTGCGCGCGTGCTCCGTGAGGGGCGGGGCCTGGCCTCGGCGCAGGGGGCGGGGCTCCGGGCTGCGCAGACCCTGCTGCGCGGAGAGGCTGCACGGCTTGTTTCTGCTTTTTTTTTTTGTTTTCCCAGAACTTGGGCTTGGGTGTTTACTGATGCTTTTGCAATACCGCCTCTTAGTAAATCTCTGCCCAAGTGCTGTGCTAGTGTTTATGCATCTATAGCTTGCTGTAGGATGATGCATCTTCAAGAAGGGGGTATTAGGGCGCATTGAGATCGCCTGTGCAAATAACTCTCCACACTCCAGACATTAATAGGAATTACTGAGACAAAAGGCAGCTCCGTGGGAACTGGGCTGGGCAGAGAAGTGAGGTGGTTTTCTGTAGGAAGGCAGGCCCTGGTGCTGGTGTTGCAGTCAGAGGCAGAGGAGACCCACAAGAGTTCAGCTTCTCTCTAGCTAGGTCCTGCATCTGCCAAGGAATTGGCGGGGAGCAAAGAAAATGTGGGTCTCCACCCCTGGTGGGTTTGGTTTTGTAGCCAGTTGTAGACCTGAAGGGTTCTGTGCCATGGCAACAGAATTGGGGTAAGGATGGCAAGGCCTGGCCTGGGGAGTTGGGGTAGCAGCTGCTGAAGCTGGCAGAGCTGAGGAGGGTAGGGGGCCCAGCACAGGGCCAAGGCCTGCAGCTGGAGGGGGCAGGACTGTGCCATGTGGACCCAGGGCTCCCATTTTCTGTCCGAAAAGCTGTGGGAGGCAGTAGCTCCCAGCCAGACTTCAGAATGCTTTGGACAGAGTAGAGTGTTCAAAGCTAGCTATGGGGAAAGCTTACAAAGACAGCCAGGAAAGGGAGAAGGCAGGAGGCAAATGGTGCATGCAGGTGGTTGGAAAAGTGGAAATGGGTTTAAAAGTGAAGTCAAGTGAAGTAACGGAGGGGCTTCTAAAAGTGCACGACAAGGATTTGGTCTGTGGCGCACACACTGTCAGCCACAAGGTTTACCTGCTGGCTAGTGGATAACATCAGATGGCGCTTTCAGGGGGAGTGTGTGTGAGAGAAGGGGAGAAACTGGGTGACCCAGGGTGCCTGTGTGATGCCTAGCCTGTGCCAGCAAGGCTATGCAGGCCAGTGAGTGGGGGTTCTGGGGTTCAGAGACAGCAGAACTGCCCCTAGGGAGTAGTCAGGGCAGGGGATCCGGTACCATTTACTCCCTGCGAGGCAGAGGAGCTGTGGCACAGGCCAGAAGGAACTTGCTCTGCTCCCTGCCCTGGGCGGGGCCAGGGGTGAGGGCCAGAACCTTCTGGACTGCGGTCCTCGGTCCCACTTGCAGATCAGATGGGACATGTTGCTGCGATGCGTTGAGGGAGGAAGTCTGAATACCCCAGAGCCAGCGCAGCAGTCCTGTGGTCAGTACCAGACAGAGTATCACTGTGTGGCCTGGTGGTGGGAAAACGGGGTGGGGGGGGGGATGGGGAGTATGTGACACAACAGTCAAAGTGTCCCCTGAACTCCTGGCTTCCCACCCAGCTCCCTCACGCAGCCGGGGCCAGATCTAGCACTGTGGGATTGGGGGGAGTGAATCAACACAAGCTACTTTTCAAATAAATACAAAAGCATAAATTTTTAACAAAACGTGAGGGCAAAGGTGGTACTGGTAAGGCCTTAACTGGGGGACAGGAAGGAGGTTGGACTCAGACAGGGGGCACTGGGAGGGCAGCTGGGGGGCTCTGCTCCTGGCTATGCCTGTTGCGGACTGGGCAGGCAGCAAGGGCAGGAGCCTCTGCCCCAGGTGGTGCAGTCGCTGGCCAGCCTGCCCCAGGAGCGGCTGCCTGCAGGAGCCGAGTGCAGAGTCCAGAGAGCCTGAAGACCAGAAGACTGTGTGGGAGGAACCTGAAGGAGGGGTATGGGCTGGTCCTTGGGTACTGCTGCTGATCCTCATGACGAGGGCAGTTGGGGACCAGCTCACAGGGGAGCAGTGCCCGCAGCTGGGGCCAGGGCCTGGAGGCAGCATGGGTAAGGGAGTTCTCAGCCACCTGATGGCATCAGTGCCGCAGAACAGGGCCCTCCTGGAAGGCCTGGAGGAAGGACAGTGGTCTCATGAGGGCACAAAGCTGTTGGCATGCCAGGAGCCATTTCTTGATGTCCTTACAGCCTAGGAACAGGTATAGCAGTGCGGCACAGCCTGGGGGACTCCCGGGGGGCAGCAGGCAGGGCCAGGAAGAGAGATGGGAGTAGTGTGTGGACAGACTGGTGTAAGGAGGCCAGGTTGGCACTCCTGGCAGTAACTAGGAGGCTGGAGGACAAGCGCACCTGCTCTGCTGGTCAGGGATAGAGGCAGTGTGTGGGGATGGCACCCAGAGGGGCTCACAAAGCAAGAGGGGGAGAGAAGGAAGGGAGTGTGTTCTAAGGAGGGTGGCTTGTGGCCTGGTGAGTGCCAGAACAGTGTGAATGGTGGTGGACGCCTCGCACATGACCATGACCCAGGACCTGGAGGAGCTGGAAGGAAGGACATGGGGCGCGAGGACCTTGGCAGTGAGGTGGGGGGAGCAGGGAGGGGACCTCCTCTTGTCCTCCTGGGGTTGAGGCTGACCTGGCTCTGCACTTTGAATCTGCTGTCCCCGGTGCTGGTGGCCAGCATGGTCCCCGTGGGCCAGCTGAGGTGGTGTGGAGAGAGGGGTTCAGTGGCACCCTGGGCCACGTGGCTGCTGCTGCACTCAGGGTGTGCCATTGTGCCCCGCCCGCCCCACAGTCCCTGAAGCGGAAGGAGAAGGAATATGAACATGAGATGGAGCGGCTGGCCCGGGAGAAGATCGCCACACAGCAGCGGCTGGCGGAGCTCAAGCACGAGCTGAGCCAGTGGATGGACGTGCTGGAGATCGACCGCGTGCTCCGGCAGACGGGCCAGCCCGAGGACGACCAGGCCTCCACTTCCACGGCCTCCGGTGAGCCGGTGTCCCTTGCACCCCACAGTCCAGCCACCAGGTTCTCACCTGACAGCTAGGACACCCCCACGCCCCAGCTCCAAACCGGACCCAGACCACCACCACCCTCCCACCCCACCCTGGCCTTCAGAGCCTGCAGCCACCGGCCCCTGACCTGCTCTCTGTCCTGTGTTCCCCTGCAGAGGGTGAGGACAACATAGACGAGGACATGGAGGAGGACCGGGCAGGCCTGGGCCAACCTAAGCTGAGCCATCGTCCTCAGCCAGAGCTGCTGAAGTCTACCCTGCCACCCCCCAGCACTGCCCCTGCGCCTCTGCCGCCGCACCCCCACCCCGTGGCCCTGTCTCCTGCCCACCTCCCTGTGCAGCCGCCGCAGCAGCAACCGCCACCCCCAGCACAGCAGAAGACCCCTCTCCCTGCGCCTCCCCCTCCGCCAGCCGCCCCTGCCCCGGCCCAGACGCTGGTGCCAGCTCCAGCCCACCTCGTGGCCACAGCCGGGGGTGGCTCCACAGTCATCGCCCACACGGCCACCACTCATGCCTCAGTCATCCAGACTGTGAACCACGTGCTACAGGGGCCAGGCGGCAAGCACATCGCCCACATCGCACCCTCGGCCCCCAGCCCTGCTGTGCAGCTGGCTCCTGCCACGCCCCCCATCGGCCACATCACCGTGCACCCTGCCACCCTCAACCATGTGGCTCACCTCGGCTCCCAGCTGCCCTTGTACCCACAGCCCGTGGCCGTGAGCCAGCCCGTGGCCGTGAGCCACATCGCCCACACCCTCTCGCACCAGCAAGTGAATGGCACAGCTGGGCTAGGGCCCCCGGCCACCGTCATGGCAAAGCCAGCCGTGGGGGCCCAGGTGGTGCATCACCCCCAGCTGGTGGGCCAGACAGTGCTGAACCCAGTGACCATGGTCACCATGCCCTCCTTCCCGGTCAGCACGCTCAAGCTGGCTTGAGAGTGAGGCTGCTCAGAGGCCCCCAGTCGGGGCAGGGAACTGACCTGTTCTCTACTCTCCCACCCACCAGCTCCATACATTCCAGCCAGGCCCAGGCCCTCCCCATCCATGCCCACCCCCAGGCCTCCCAGGGGTAGGGGGTGCAGAGACTCTGAGCCAGGGGAAGAGAGGGGCCAGCCGGGCAGCTGGACACAGGGCAGAGGGTGACCCTGCTGCACTAGCACCTGATGGAGTGGCAGGATGCTGCGGGGAGCTGCCGCCTGTGTAGCTTAGTCTCAGCTCCCCTCCCTGCCACACACCTGGTGCAAGCAGACATGGACATGAACGGAGTGACCTGACGTCTCCCTGCCCCGCCTGCCTTCCCATACTGTTGCTGCTGCTGCTGTCGCTATATGCCTGAGCCTCGGGGATTTGCGCCCAGGCCTGCACGAGGGGAACAGGAGAAGCAGGGCCAAAGCTACCTGCTCCAGGAGTGGGGGGAGGCCTGCCTTTGGCAGGTGGCAGATCCCAGGCAATGTCTGAGCTGGAGTCCCACCCCCGCGGGTGGGTACGCAGAGTCCTTCCTGTAGGAGGTACTGAAAGCGGTTCTCTCCAGTCCCAGCAGTAAAGGAAGCCCAAGCTGAGAGACTTCTGACCTCAGGAGGGCGGGGTGGGGGTGGGCAGGAAGAGCTTGGCTGGTCTGCCCCGCCTCCACCCTCTCCCTGCTGCTCTGGCTCTGGCTCAGGCCCTGGGATAGGGAAAGCGGCAGGGTGCCCTGCCCTGTGGGCACCTGCTACAGCTGAGGAGACCTGGACTGGCACCTGGTCTTGGTTTCAGCAGCCATCTTGTACAGGCATCAGGAAGTTAGATCCTGGAGCTTGGCCAAAATGTGGCACGTGTACCCTGCCCCCACCCGTCAGGCTCTGGGGCCCCATGGAGCAGGCCCCAACCTTGGGGGTGTTGGGAGCGGCTGCTTCCACTCAGCCTCTGCCTCTGTCATTTCTTCCCCTGAGAGTGTTCCCCTTCTCCCATGGGCAGTTTTGAGGGTGCCCCCTCGGGTGGGGGCTGCAGAGTCCCACCCTTCCCTCTGAAAGTGGGTCCTTAGTTGGCCGAGGACATGGCTGAGTGAGGGGTCCTGACTCGAGGATGCTGCTTTCCCAGCCCCGGCCTAGGCAAACGTGGGTATTTATTACAAGTGGCCTTGTGTCAGACACACACTCAATACACACACCTGCACACACTCAGCACCCCACTGGACACACACTCACCAGTGGCCTTTCAGGGTGGGGGAGGAAGCGAGTGACCCCAGGTGTGAAGTTAGTTCACAGGCTGGGCTGGATTGGGTGGTGGTGCAGAGGGGAGCGGTAAGGACCCCGGGGGTCCTTGAGTCGATTCTCCCTGCTGTCAGGAATGCTTTTTGATCCCCCACCTGGTCCTTGAGCCCAGCCAAGGGATTCCTTTCCTCACCCCTCTCTCCTGGGAGTCGGGTCAGGAGCTGTACCCCAACTCCTGTGGGATTCCCCTCCACCACCTCCAGTAATATCCCAGCTCTAGGACGGCTGTTCCCCTGTGACAATGGCAAGGACAGAAGCCTGACAGCACAGTCAGGGACAGTCCAAGCAGCCTTGTCCGGGTGTCCCCCTACGTCCCTTTCCTCATTGACCCTGAGGCCAGTTTCAGAGTTGAAGCTGTCGTGGTAGCCGGGCGCCCCTCGGGCCAGCAGATACCTCATCAACTCCCCACATCCCCACCCCTTCTCCCCGCCCCCCGGTAGTGGGGGCTTCCAGATTAGTGCCGAATGACTATGTCCAGATTGGTGGTGATGATGGGTGTTGTTGCTGTTGTGTTGTCGTTGTTGGTGAATGCTGTGCCGCTGTGTGCCCGAGTGGGCGGCCACCACCCAGCAGGACTGCCTGCACCTTCCCCCCTTGTCCTTCCAGCCTGGGACACACAACACACACACACACATCTTACCTCTCATGCGTGTTTTACCTGTTGATGTTCAGAGTGGCTCACTGCTGGGAGTCTTTACCTTGGGGGAGGGGGAGGTTGGTTCCTTGTGGGGGCCAGAGAAGGGCAGGGAATGCCTGGGGAGAGACGGGGGTTGCCACAGCCCCCGCTTCTCTCCAGGAACAGCTTCTTCCCCCCACCGTCCCAGGGTCCCAACCCCCCCAAAGAGGTGGCCCTTGTTTACAGTGAGGACTCGGTCACTGTGTCTCCGTTTCCTGAAATATAAACGTAGTGGCCCCAGACTGTAGATTTTTATGTGTTTGGATACATCTGCTGTGTGGGAAAAAACAAAAAAGACTAAAAAAAAAAAAAAACCCTAATTTTGTACATATTGTATTTTTACTATTGAACTGTATTCTAGTGGCTGTTCATGCTCCAAGACTTTAGGTATTGAGACATGAATACTACCCATGTTATAAGCACTTGCCTGGAATAAAATATAAAACTGAAATAAACCTGCACTGAAACCGAGACTGAGCCGCGAGCCTGCAGCCTCTAGGTCCTTCTGTTGCCAGGGTGCCCTGGGGGGAAGCGCAGCTGCGGGGACCTGGGTCTCTAGCCGCCTCCCTGCTGGAGGATTCTAGAGAAAGCCAGGGTCTCCCAGGTCTGATACCAAAGCCTCAACAAGTTCTCCAAAGTGCACTTGGGCTCTTGTGCCTTTGTCACAATGGCTTATACTTCCTCAAACCATCTTCACACATATTATCTTGTTTCATCTTTAACAACAGCCCAGTGAAGTAAACAGAGCCAAGAACCAGCCTTATTCTGGCAGATAAGGAATCGGGCGTGAGGTGGCCCAGTGACTCGCGAAGGTCACACGGCTGGCTAGCCCAGGACCTGATTGATGCTGTGGTCACATCACTTCTTCCCCTAGCATTCGTCATTCCTGGCCACAGGCCTGTGTACATGGCTGAAGGGAGTGGCCCCGGACCTGGGCCCGAGGCTTGGAGTCAGGACCACACAGGCATCTGGGCCAGAAGTTGGAGGGCAGCCAGCCATGTTCCCAACATGTCCCTTCAGAGGCATCTGGCCTGAGAGCAGTTGGAAGTGGCAGGAGGGTGGGGGCTGGAGGCTGCCACCTCTTGTCACTGTTACTTCCCCCATTATACCGTTCCTCCTCGCAGTCCCAGCAGAGGAAACCGACTCAGCTGCTGTGGGGATGGGTGTGGGGTGTGGCGCCCACCCATGTCTCAGGCTCCTTTGCTGAGGAAGGGTGGGGAGTGTTGCCCCTCGGTACTGGTGAGACAAGGGCTCTCTCTACTGGTAACGCTAGAAAGAGGTTGGGGAAGTCCCCTGCAGCGGCCCACTGGCGCCACCTGGGGGAAGTGCCAGGTGGTGCTGGCTGTCATCTGAAAGTTGGCACCATCTTATGTGTAGGTGGATGTTCCCTCACACACAGGCTGCTCCTGGAAGGGTCCTGAGGCTACTGGGGAACAGCAACACGCAGGATAAGCCCCGTTACAGCCATTTCCCAGCTCCTACCTGTGGACATAGAAGGTAATTTTCCAGGGTGCAAGTCTGCTGAGATGGAAAGTTCTGGAGTGGACAGGAAGCCCCAATCCCTAGCAAGCCAGTGTCCTCTGGGACCTGAAAACAGGTAAAGTCCTCCACCGGAGCCACAGGTGATGTGATGATGATACCAGGGTGGGGACAGGCTCCTGGAGATGAGGGGGTCTCCTACCTCCCTTTTCTGAGGCTCCCCCTATCCCCAGCCCAACTGACTTGGCATCTCAGAGACTTGCCAAGCTGGGAGTCACGTCAGCAGGGCAGGGTCTTGGCTCACTAGCTGGAGGACCCAGGAGACCCGTGAACTCCAAGTTCCTGTTCCTCAGGAGGATGGGGGCGGGCTGGGGGCAAGGGCCGGAGTGTCAGGAGTGCTGAGTTCTGGCCAGCCTTCCTGAGCAGCCCCTTGTTCTCATTTTGCCACCCTTCCCCAGGGGGCTGGCCCTCTTGACTGACTGTAGAGCTTATCAATTCCCCACACGCTCACTCGGTGTCCTGTGCCTGTCCCACAAGCAGCTCCCAGAGCCTCAAGTGTTGCCAAATACTGTTTTTATTGGTTGCTTACATGGAAGAGTATAATTTGAGCCAAAAAACAAAAAAACAAAAAACAGACACTCTGCTCTTCACAAGACCACTGAGTCACTAAGGCAGGCACACGAAGGCCACCCGTGCTTGGTGGAGGCCAAGGACTCAGGAATGATGGGGATAAGCAGGGGGTGGGCTTGCCCCCAAACAGGCCGTGCAGCACCCAGGGGCAGGACCAGGCTGGGCAGGCTGTGTCTGCTGGATGCACAAGAGCTGGGCCTGTTCAAGTCTGCCAGATCTTGGTGACTGCTGGGCAGATGTGCTGGCTGTGGTGGGGCAGTGCAGGGCATGAGGATGGCAGAGCAAGCGACATGCCTGGGCCCTGGGTCAGGAGCTGTACTCTTGCTGGCAGTGGGTGCGGTTCCTCCAGGGGAGGGGCCAGGCCCTAAGGCCTGTCTACCTGCTGAGAAGCAGAGCTGGCCTTGCTCCAAGGACAGAAGGCAAGAGGCAGGCACCCCCAGCTCCCTTGGCCCCAGGGTCTCAGAAGGTGCCTGGGAGAGGCCAGGTGCTATCCTGGAGATGCCGGTCCCATCCCCGAGAAGAACCCGATGCCTCTGCCCCCCTCCAGAATCACCCCGGGGTCCCTCAGGGGCACATGCTGCTGCGGCACGGCACATCATCTGGCTGGCAACAGTTACTGACATGGTCATCAGAGATGTATCTAATGCATAAAGCGGGGAGGGAGGGGAGAGGGACAGTGAGGCTGTACAGATGCCCGTGGGTGCATTGCACAGTGTGTAGGAGGTGCGGAGAGTCACCTCAGGTGGCCAAAGGCAGTGGCATTGCTGCTGAGGTGGGCTGCTCACACCCTGGCCCAGATCTCCTGAAAGGCAGCCCCGGTCTGCGGTCCCAGTTGGGATCTGATCTAGCTGCACCAGCAGGGGCCTTGAAAGCCGCTTAGAGCAGCCGCATCTCGGAATCTCTGGACCCATGCAGCTCCTGCTAGGAGCAGCCATAGTCGCTGACAGCTCCAACCCACCCTTGCAGAGACAGTGGGGGAACAGTGCAGACTGAGGCTGTGGGTGGCAGTGGGGCTGTTCCCAGCTGTCTGAGACAGGGACAGAGTGGTTGATCCCCAAGGTGACAGACAGGGACCCCGAGGCTGACCCCTCCTGCCACAACCTGAGGGCTCCTTGGACCCTGACATGTCCTGCAAGGCCAGCACTACCTGGAGTCCGATCCCAGGCTCATAATAACTTTGTTTGCAACAGAGTGGGACATGCCGGCAGGCGGGGGCGGCCGGGGGCCAGGGCAGTCTGGGTTGTGTGGCCCCACCCCTACCCAGCTGGAACCCGGTCGTTGCGAAGCTGCCTCCTGGCACAGCCCTCACTTGTTCTCAATGAGCATCTGCACCTTGTGCACGAGGTCTCGGGCGATACGCAGAATCTCCTGGGCGTCGTGACGCTCAGCCCATTCTGGGGAAACACGGATGACTGAGGGATGGCCCGGGGAGAGGGTGGTGGGCTGAGAGGAGCAGTGCACTGAATACTCTGCTGGTCCCAACCAAGGGAAGGGACCCCTCCGACTCCACCAGGGTCAGGAGCCGAGACCCCCGCAGCCTTGCTGGACACAGCCAGGTGGCCGGGCCTGCACGTACCGTTGAAGAACTTGATGATGTCAGTGAAGTCCATGTTGTTGTCGCGGATGATCTCTCGGTAGGCCTCCACCAGGGCCAGGGCGATGAACAGGACAAAGTGCTCCGAAGAGATATGCCTGGCTGCCCAGATCACCTCCCACACAGCAAACACGTCCTCGTACAGCAGCTCTGGGGACAGTAAAGGGCTGTGCTCCGTCCCCAGTCCCAGCCACACGCTACCTGTAGGCACCAGGCTGAACCAGGCGGTGAGGCTGAGCGCCAAGGGCCCTGCCCTGGATCAGCCTGGTGACATGCGGCCTCAGGCCTCTGTGGCCAGAGACTCCAGCTGTCCCTTGGCCACAGCCCTAGCTGGGATCCTGCAGACCCCACACCTGCTCTTGATTTGGCAGCTCCACCTCCCCGGCCTTACCTTCCTCACACTGCTGTTCAAAGACCTGGTTTGAAAAAGTTCTGAAAACAATTATCTGTCAGCTTTCCCTCCCCCGTTCCTTGGGCGGCACCTGGGGTGGTTTCCCAAAGCCCCTGGGGGGCCTCCATGTACAGTTAGGGCTCCCCTCAGCCTTACTGTCTAAGCACTTCTTACCTCGCTTAAAATCCAGCAGAAACCAGCGGTAACAGAAGTAGAAGTGGGTGTAGTCCCCATTTTGATGCATCAGTTCAAACAGCTCTGAGTCCAGGATCTGAGTGGAGGAAGAGGGAGGGCCTGGCCAGAAGCCGCCTCTGCGCCTCCCACCCTCTAGGCCAGGAACCCAAGGTGGGTACTGGGTGGTTGTCTTGTTTCCAGAGCTGTACTCTCCACTCCTGGGTGGCCAGAGGCTGGGCTCAGGGCCCTGCTCCACAATACCCATCCCATCCTGGCTTTAATCCTTGTGGAGTTCAAGGCTGTCAGGCATCTACACAGCCATACCCCTCGATTTGTAATAATGAAAACAGCAGCCTTGGGAACAGCCCCTGGCCCCCCTGTGCTGATGGAGTGAGCAGCTCTGGGCTGCCTGCCCTCATGCCCAGGACCACCTGTATAGCTCACCTGGATGAGGGAGCGCATGTTGGCAAAGTGGGTGTCCATGGCGCCCCCGTTGGGGAAGTTCTGGCTCATCCTCTTCATGAGGTGGCTGAAGCAGCTGTAGGTCAGCTGATCTGAGGAGGACCTGAGTGAGGCCGGCAGGGCAGTGGCCCCCGGAGTCCACCTTCCAGACTCGGCTGGCTCCTTTCCCTTGCTCCAGCTCCAGTCTGCCCAATCCCAGCATGACATGGGAATTCCCATCCCTCACCATTGTCCAAGACGACCAGGAGAGGCGCCAGCAGGTCACACATGCCTTGCACATAGCCCACATCCAGGTGTTCCCACACATAGCTGCAAGGTCAGGGACAAAGTTACTACGGCCTCTGGGCCCCTAAGGAGAAAGCGCATGCCCTGAAGTCAGCCTTCCCACCCCCCTAAAGCATTCATTGGGAGGGGACAAGCCCATGCCCTGCCTCCAGCACACTCAAGGAAAGACACCCAAGGCCATCGTGGCTTGGAATTTGGGCAGAGGAAGGAAAGCAGGTAATGCTTCCTTGAAAGTGTGGTCGAAGCTGCGATCCAGGGGACATCTCAGGATGTAGGCAGGGGTAGAGGCCGTTACAGAAGAGAAGCTTCCCAGAGAGAGGGGGCCCAGTGTGACAGGATCCCCGAGAGAGGTGGCCTCCTCAGACTGAACGTCTCCTCCCGCAGCCCTGTAGCCCCGCCCCACAGAGGCACCTGCACATGATGTCTCGAAGCCTCTCGAGGTTTGGGGGTGTGAAGTACCAGTAGTTGCGGTCACATCTCTGCACATCTTTGTCTATGCGGTGCAGATTTAAGGCCACGGTGTCCAGTAATTCTATCTGGAAGTGCGGAAGGCCCTTGGGTGAGACTGGCCAGTTCTTCCCAGATGCCTAAAGACATGCAGCGGGACAGGAAAGGCAGGGACCCAGAGAGCAGGGCCCAGGCTCTTCTATGCTAGAATGGTCACCCACCAGCCCAGCCTGAGCCTCGGGATGTCAGGGGGCTAGCTAGGAGCAGTGCCCAAGAATGTCCACCTACAGTGTAGGCAGCAGCACACACAGCCTCTAGCTCACTGGCCTGTGGCGCCTCCTCCTGGCTGGGATCCTGGGGCCTGGAGAAAGTGTGGACTGCAGGGATAGGGTCGTTGGTGGAGCCTTCCTCTCCAGCACCGTCCTCTTCAAAGCCCACATTCGGCCCCTCATCCAGGCTCGACTGGATGCCGGAGGCCACGGAGTAGTTGCGAGAGGATGGCAGACCCGAGTCTGGAGAGTCGAACTCTACTGACTGCTGCTCCCCGGCGGGGCCAGGGCTCCCCGCTCCTGCTCCCGGTTCCAGCTTGACTCTGGGATCATCGGGGCCCTGTGCCCCTGGGGGCTCCAGATCGTCCACAGAGATGAACACCTGGGAGGGGGGAAAAGGAAGGAGGGAAGGAACGTGGACACACGGTGGCTCCTACCTGCACACCAGGACTTTGCGGCAGCCCTCGCCTCCGCCCCGGGTCAGAATGGAGCCAGGAAGGAGAGTTTTCACACCCCATCCACCTACTCATGGCCTCTAGCTTGGCCACCCTGAGCACTAGGCTGGCTTCTGACCCAGCTGACTGGTAGAGAAATAAGGGTCTGGGCAAATGTGAGGAGCCCAGGCTCAGCCCTGTCCTGTCCCTGCTATGGTCTGGTCGCTGGATGCCGGTTCCAGCTAAGTCTCATCCCAAACTTGAAGCCGGCAGAGCTTCCTTGGTGTGGTGGCTTGGTATGTCTGCTGGGCCAGAGGTCTTAGGAAAAACGGGATTCTCTTTGTTTTCTGTATTTAGTTTTCTGTATTGTGTCAGCAAGACACAAACTTCTGAAGCACATACCTACTTGGTCACATTGGCCTTCAGACATACAGACAGGGTAGGAAGTGAAGGGAAACCTACTTCACTTGTCCCTGGAAGGTAACTAGCAAGGATAGTCCAGGGAGATTAACACAGGCTTCTCCTGTCTGGAACACAAAGGGAAAGAGGGGTGCTGAAAGTGGTTTTCACCTTGGGAAAGGAGCAAGACATGATGGGCAGGGCCCGTTAAGAGCCTTGGAATGGTGAGCTGGGTCTACCTGGGTCATCACAGGACTCAAACCCAGGCAGAACAAGAGGGTACGTATCAACAAGAGATCAAGAACGTAGAACATGTAAAGGGAGGGTTGCCTTGCTGGCTATGATACTGCGTTTCTTCCAGTCTTGCTCCAGCTGGGATGCTTTCTGTTCCTAGTAAAAATACGGTGAAGTGACAAGAACATGCATGACCCAAAGAAGGAATTTCAAAGAAGAAAACACATAAATTAATACACAGAATGCCCTTAAAAATGGAACTTGTCCATGCTAGAGCTCTAAGCTGGCGTCTCTAGAAGTAGGGGTGGTGCTGGGAGGAACGACACACTCGCACTGTGATCCAGCACTGATCAGGGAGACAGACACCCTGAGGGGACCACCCCAGGTGCCCCTTGGTTTCTGACAAAAGTCCCAGCAAGCCCACCTTTCCCTACTTGTAAAAGGAAGTATCATGCACTAAGACATCTTATTCCTACAACACCCAGGGAATTCTCAACTTTTCAGGCCAAGAAATTAACACACAGGCCCTAAGCTTTTCTCCCAGGGCTCCGCTGCCAGTCTGTTAAAAGCCAGGCTAGTGTGCAAAACGCTGGTGGTCCCTACAGGTGCCCCGCCCCCAGACCCCGTCTGGCTCACGTCGTTGCTGATGGTGGAGTCACGGTGGAGGAGGCGCTGCACATGGCTGTCAATGCTGCTGCCCGAGGAGAACTTGGTGAGCGTGGTGGGGTGAGCCTCCCGCTCCCGTTGCCTCACCACTGCCTCACAGGCCTTCCACTCCGCCAACACCTGCTGGTACCTTGCTGCCACCACTGCGTCCACCTATACTCAGACCACGGTGTGACCATGAGGGATGCATGAGCCAGGCCCTCCTCTCCAGAGGCTGGGCAGGCACTGGACCTGTGGCTCCCAGCCAGTTGCAAGGGCCGAGGTGGCTACAGGTCGAGTAGGGCTGGGGAGAGGCCCTGGGGGCTGCTTGGCTAACACCCTCCTCCTGCCAGGTGCCTGTTCCAGATGAGAAGGGCTAAGGCTTCCCTGGGGCCCTTGGCCCAGCTGCCCAGCTCCCGAGCCCATGGGCACAGGGTTGCCTACCTGCTCCATCTCCTTCTTGCTCATGCCAAACTTGTAGTGACCCAGCAGGAAGGGCCAGACGTCCTTGCGGATCTCATGCTCCACGCCTCCATAGTAAACTTGCCGCAGCAGCTCCAGCTCCTTGTAGTTCTGAGGACCCGGGGGGGAAGGGTGAAGACTGTGTGGCTCCTGTGGTCTCTTTAGCCCAGGTGGGCGCTTCTGTCACTCTGCTGAAGCCCATGCAAGTCCTGCTTGGGACAGCTATATCCTTCCGAGGTTATAATGTGATGGCATCCAGTGCCCCTCCCCTCCCATCTAGAGCAGGAGAAGGAGCCCAGATACATGGAAAGACAAGTTCAAGGTAACAGCTCAGATCTTTCGTGTAGACCCATCAGCTCAGCTATAGGATGATGAGTCAAGTCACCTCCAGTCACCCATTTTGGCCTGCAACCCCATCTCTGAATGCCCACTCGGCCTATGAAAGCTGCTCCCACAGCTCTCCTTGCTGCCAGCTCCAGCTCCACGACTGGCTTCTGAGCACAGAACTCGTTCTAGAATGCACACCTTTTTGTCCTTCTGATACTTGCTCCACACGTCCTTGGTGAGACCCCCTGAGGCCCCAGGGGGCCGGTCAGGTGGGATGATGTTGTGATGCACCAGTGCCGACAGGTGAGTCCGGACCGTGGACAGGTGGCGGCAGTAGGCCAGCCCTGCAAGGAAGGGGCATGCGGTGGGTGTGGGAGGCTATGACTGAGGTGCCTCCCTTGGCGGTCAGCCCCGCACAGCCCCACCCCACCGCACACTCACAGCCATAGAAAGCCCGGGACACGATCTGTCTCTTCATGCTCTCACACAGCAGCCGGAGGGGTAACCTGTGGGGACAACCTGGCTCAGAGGGAGGGGAATGTGGCCCCTCTGGTGGGAGGAGGACAAGAAGGAAGGACATTCTTGTGGGGGTTAGGAAAGCAAGTGGGGTAGCAGAACCCTCAGCATGGAAGCCACCAGTGGGTACCCCATCATCCTGCCAGGCACTCTGGACAGAGCTGGCCCCCAACCACCCAATGGTCTTGGGCAACTAACTTTACATTAGTGAACCTTGGTTTCCTCATGTGAAAATGGAGACTGCCCTTTGCCCAGACAGACAGCCTGCCAGCAACATCCATGTCCACACTGTACCTACTGCGTGCTGGGCATAGCCCTGAGCATTCACTTGGGTTATATTTCATTTAGTGCCAATGAGTCCCTTAAGAAACAGGCAATAATATCCTCATTTTATAGACGAGGAAACAGGTTCTGAAATGGAATAGAGAGGCTCCTAGACACTCAGCTACTAGACAAACTGGTGGCAGAAGTGAAATGTGAAATGTGAACTCAAGCATGTACAAGTCCAGCGGCCACCCTGTGTCATGCAAGTGATGCAGTCCCTAAGAACAGACAGACACACGTGATTGGACACGGCAGGGGAAGGCTGGTGTCCCGGCACTGCTCACTCACCGGTCGGGGACACAGCGGCAGTGGCAGGGGGCTGTGCATGGGCAGCTGCTGCAGGAACAGGAGAGGCACGAGCCCTGGCTGCACAGGGGCTCCAGGCGCCAGGCTGGCAGGCTGGGCCCAAAGCCTTGCATCTCGATCATGTCGCCAGCATCTGAAGGCAGGAAGGGGGCTGAGGTCAGCCCAACAGGTCAACTCCCCCAGGTACCCTGCAGCATGCCCACCTCTGTGCTCAGAGCTGCAGCATGAGGCCACCTGTTGGAAAATTACAAGGATGGTGCCTGCCAGATGCGGAGCCCAGAGATGGACAAGGGGGTTGGGAGGGGATCTTGGAGAGGGTTGGCAAGGTCAAGGTGTCTCTGCATGTGGCAAAGTACTTAGACCAAATCGTGGACCAATGTGTGTGTCTGTCTCCATCTTGCTACCAGCAAACACTTGCTTTTCTAGAGGGAAGGGAAAGAAAGCAATGGCAGAGCAAGAGCCACCTCGCTTGCCTTTTCAGCCTGGGTCTCTTGGGAGAGCACTGAGATGCTGGACAGCTGCTCAGGGTGCTTCCAGCCCCGAACCCTCCCTTCCAGGGCACTCTCCAGCAAAGTCCCTGAAGGATCTCACAGGCCTTGCTTTTCTGAGGGATTCTGGAACTGACCAGTGGCTAAGTAGGAACTGTGCTCCCTGCCCAGGCCACGTGCCCCTGTTGCCAGTTTGCCTGGACCCTGTCTGATTCCCCATTCTCGCCTTGTCTAACTGAACTCAGCATGGTGATCTCCTGGAAACAGGGAAGTGAAAGGAAGAGCAGAATTTTCAGGGTTTTCAGGCTGCTCTAGGCACACAGGCACACCCTCCAACCGCCAGTCACAGAAGAACATGCCCAGGTGCGGGTTCTGGAGGTGGGCTCCTGGGGGCCTACACCGACTGCAGACACACAGCCTTCACCACCAGCTCCGCTGGCTGAACCAGAGCTCAAGACCCTGGGGGGAGCTTCCAGAGTGTGAGGGGGACGCTGGCATGGCCAGAGAGCCATGGTGATGAAGCAAAGGGAGAGCAGGAAGTGAGAGGGGCTGGGGCTGAGACCGGAAAGGAGAGCGAGCAGAGTAAAGAGCAAGGAAAGGGAGAGCTGTGTGCTGAGGCCTCCCTCTCAAGGGCCTTGTCTCAGCCAGATTGGTGTGGCCCTGCCTCAGCTTGGGCCCTTGCCGGCTTTTGGTAGAAGACAAGCTCTAGGCTGAGCTGGGCACCCTAGGATCTCGTTAGGGATTGCCGCTGCCTTGGCCCCGGGGCTTTCTCGTCCAGACCCAGGGCTAGGGTTTTGATCCATGTCTGGCCCTTCAGCTCCACCAGGAGGCAAATTAAGGGAATGTGTTTTGTGAGGAGGGGGCTGAGGCTCTGAGAGCGAGGGAATTGAAGCCATGCTCGAGACTCAGGGGATCAGAGAGGGAGGGGATGGGTGCAGGTGGGGGAGGTGGGGCAGGACCCAGTTCCTGCCCCTGCAGCAGGCAGGAGAGGCCAGTCTTGGGGGGAGCTGGGGGTGGGGATAGGCCCAGCTGGGCAGGCAGCAGGCAACAGGCGGGAAGGCAAGAAGGGCAAGGGGTGCAGAGGGTGGGCACCAAGGAAAAGCAGCTCATGCCTGAAAGCAGGGCCCAACCAAGGCTGATCTCCTGGGTCAATGCTCTTCACCTTAATTCTCCAGGAGCTGAACCTGCCAGCTCTGAACACTCTGTCTCTCTGAGTGTGCCCCGTGTGACAGCGGGAGCTCTGCAGTGCCTGGCTGAGGGGCAGCAGCTGGACGGGATCTGCCGGGTCAGTTTGGACTCTGACTCTCCCCTCTGAGCATGAGGACAAACAGCCAGTGTGGGTGAACCCCACAGCCCCTAAGACTCCGAGTGAAAGGTACCTGGCCTGGAGCAGAATTAGAGTGAACAGCATCTCTGCTCTGGGGGTGGGATGGGGGAGGGGAAGGAGGGGAAGGAGGCAGCAGGAACAGAAGGGGAAGGGGGAGGAGGGAGAGGAGATCTGGACACCCGCCACTTGATTTACATGCACAAGTCAAGCATGTTGCAGGCCTGAAAAGCAACGGCTAGCAGAACGGCCTCCACAGTGTTGTCATTATGGACTGGAGCGGAGCTGGTGGCCCCCACCACCACACGGACCCCCAGCACCTATGGACTTGCCTCTCTTGCCCACCTGCTTTCCCAAGGGCTGGGGACTGAGCGGTTGTTCACTTAGTTTAGCCCCTGAGTTCCCTGAGAGGATACCCAGACAAGCCTTGAGGCTTCTAAGCCCCATGGAGCTGGAACATTCTCCGATTCCACAGGCTTTAGTCCTGTGACTAGCTGGGGATGGCCTCTCTATTGCCAAGTGTGCCAAGATCCTCCGGCCTGACTATTGGCTCAGGATGTAAGCAGGCACTCTGTGTGCAGGGCTCAACTTTCCCATTCTGCTCCAAGGCAGTTAGCCGGTAAATAAGCATCAGCCCCAGGTCCAGGTTTGGAAGGAACCAGATGGCAGGCATGTGTGCAGCAACAAAGATGAAAATTAGGATGCTCTCCTCTGGGCCTGGCTCACAGACTTGTATTGGAAGGGCTGAGAGGGAGGGCGAGCCTGGAGGTGGGCCAGGTGGCAGAAGAAAGGTTGGCTAATGGTGTGCTAAGCATGTGCTAGGCCACGGGTCTGGCTGCTCAGGGGTGCAGAGATGAATTACCGGCTTCACATCTGAGTTAAGGAATGGTAGAAGAAAGGGGGGGATGTGATATATTCTGTGGTCTCTCCAACAGGGGCAAGGAAGGAGTAGGAGCTATTGATTCTATGGGATAGGATTGGGTGGGAAGGGCCAGATCTTCAGGAGGGCTGGCCTCAGCCTCTTCCCATCCAACCTTTCCTTGTACATTCTGTCTGAGCCTCACAGACCCCTTGGCTTCACTGAGCTCCAAGTGAGTGGGTGCCCTCCTCGCCAACCCAAGAAAGATGGGTAGTGACAGAGGACTACTGAGGGACTGCGGGCATGGGGCTGTGTCATTTCTAAAAAGAGGACCTCTGCAAATCACACTTTGCAGTCCACAAGAGCGGAGACATTCTTGTCTTCCATCCCCAGGCACACATGAGGAGTCAGAACTGTGGGATGGCAAGATGCTTGCTCAAAGCCCCCATCAGCGCACTGGGGATACACCTGAGCCCGTGCGCCAGTATTTCCATGTTTCATGCCAAGCTACCAAGCCATGCCTGCAGGGAAGACTGAACCCTGAGAAGTCTTCCTTGGTGCTTCCAATTCCTCACCTGACCACAGGACTCAGTGTTGCCTGTCCAGTCTCTATTCCTGTCCCAGGAAGGACCCAGCACCTCTGTCCTGTTTCTAAGTCAGGCATCAGAGATACAGGGCTTTTGGCCCAATCAGCACAAAGAAACGGGCCTCCATCTGGCAATGGCCAGCGTGACTCCCAGGAAGAGGAATGGGCTCGGACAGCCATGGAAGGTGCCTGCACAGGAGGCAATGCATACCAGACCTTCCCATCAGCAGCTTCTCTTCCCCTCAGGCATGAGGACCCCCCTCCCTGAGTCCAGAGCTACTCTCTCCTCTTGCTGGCACTGTTTGCCCTCCCTCCGCCTTTCCTGACCTGCCTGCTGATGGAAGGGCACTGCTCTGGGTGCAAGTCCCCTAATGCCAACACTGCCGTTCGAGCCCGTGCGGTGGGTGGCAGGTGGGCCCAGGAGGGTGGGGTGGGGGACAAGGTGGGTCAGGGAGAGGGGAAGGATAAAAACCTTTCATCGGATTGGGAGCTGTGAGGTTCCGCGAGCAGATCATTGAGAGCATCGCGTGGAGTTTATCCTCCTCTTCCTCATCATCGTCCACCGAGGCCGCGCGGCTGGCCGCTAGGTGGTGGTAGTTAATAGTGACTGCTCAAAGAGAAGAGCGAGAGAGGCGGAAGCATGAGGACTCTAGTCCCTGGGCAGGAGGGACCTGACTCCCTCTGGAGCTGAGTGGAATGAAGATGGGATCACCTGGAACCTGGAGGGAATACAAGGACCTCAGAGCTCTTTCACTGGCTTATTTGGGAGAGTGTGGAAGCAGGCAAGGGGGCCGGAAGCAGTTCCCCAGCTTCATTCTTCAGAGACCCATACCAGGAGGAACAGAAGAGACCGAGGAGGGGACGCACAAGGCGGGCCTGGCACTCGGGAGCTCCCAGCCCTGGCAGAGGCTGGGCTGGCTGGCTGTCGGCTGACAGTTCCCACTCATGCTCCAGTCATGGGCAGGCTGGACCGAATCTGATGATTACCCCTAAATTCTTCTTCTCCCCAAGGGTTTTCCAGTGCTGCCCTCTAGGAACACAAGTTATGGCTCTATAGTGAGGCTGGCCGGCTCCCTGGGGCGGTGGTCCTTGTCGTGACCAGATTTGGAGAATGCCAAGGATTGAAGGAACACAGGGATTGAATAATCAAAACCAAGCAACATCCAGTGATAAAACACTAGGTTTGCAAACACATTCCGGCAAAAGCTGTGTCTCTGCCAGTCACGTGTGAGAGGGAAGTGAGAACCCCCATATCTCGTGCCCTCTGAACCTGTGAGGATGATTTTTGCTGTGGCTGTCTTTGTGCCATCCAGGGCATCTGCCCACTGATGCAGAGACAACTTGTTGACAACTCTTTGGCACCAGTTAGAAAATGTGGAAGCAGGAGGAGGTGTGGCTGGCATTTGTTGCTCTGGGTTGGTAAGTTCTCTGAACTCAGCCACAAATAAAGCACGTCTGGCCTGGAGCATCTCTGGGGTAGCAGCAGCACCCTGACTACGGAGGGGACTTTGATGTTGGCAGACACAGATGGACAGGCTCCTGGGGCCTGGGGCTACGTGTCCAGGGTAGGGGTTGGTCCATAAGGGCTGAGGCACTTCAGGCTGCCCAGCGTCCAAAGTCCCCTGTGCGGTTTCAAGTCTCTGCCCTCTTCAGACGCAAGACACTAATTCAGCTCCAGCTCCTTTCATGGGCAGTCAGTTAGAGGAGGGCTGGGGCTGTGGAGGGGTCAGTGCATATGTGTGCCATGCAAAAAGGAGTGCTGGGCCCATATTCAGGCCACCTGGTAGGGGTCAGGTGGCAGGCTGAGAAGAATAGATCCCCCTCCACTTTCTATTTCTAGTCTTTCCACATTTCTCTTCTGGGACAGGACATGAGAGGATGACTAAGAGAATCTTAGATGTGATTCCTGGGTCTGCTGAGGCAAGAGTATGCGGATAAGGAGTGAGGCCAGCTGTGCAGAAGTGGGGTGACTCTGCGTGGGGGTGATCAAAGGAAGGTGAGCCCCTTGTCTGGACCAGCCCTGCCTGCTGCCCCATGGGGTGATGCTGTGCTCCCCACCTCCCTGTCCTGCCCGGAAGAAGCCTGGGAAACTCACTGTGCTCGTGCCTGTGCCCGGGGTAGATGATCCGGAACACGTAGTCTGTGGCCCGCCCCATGCCCAGCTCCTCCGCCTCTATGGACCGCATGCTGCTGCGTTTCCGTAGCTTGGGGAACACCTTCCCCTGTGGAAGGTGGAAGGTGATCAGCCTGGTTAGGGCACAGTCCCATCCATAGTCCCCTAAGAAGTCCTCGTGGGGAAAGAGTGGGAGGTGGGAAGAAGACCCATCCCACTCATCCTGGCACCTGCCTCCCCTTCTGCCCCAGCTCCCAGTCCCCCATGCCCTGAGGTACCTTCCCCTGTTGGGTCCAGAGTGGGGGCTCCAGCTGTCCTCGAGGGAGCAGCCCATTCTCCAGGCAGGACAGAAAGGACAGCAGGTGTCCTCCCGGTGGGAAGTGCAGTGGGGGCCTCTGGATGCCATCCTGGCTCACTAGCACAAGAGTGCCACCACTCTCTGGTGGGAGATGGGCAGCAAGCATAGGTCAATCAGGCAGGGTCCTCCTGGAGTAAGCGCCCCAGCCATCACCAAGGTCCCGACAGTCAGGCTGTGCAGCAGTGCACGCTGGACTGGAGCAGGATCCAGGGCCCTCATTGATAGGGACAGTGGCAGGACAAGAAGTACAGGTGCACAGCAGGGAGGAGGTCATCTCTGCCTGCCTCATCCCTACCCTGCAACGCCCAGGAGAATACAGGCTTACTTTGCTGGTGACAGTGGATGCAGACGATCTGACTGAAGGGTACCACCAGGGCATAGTCCCAGTAAACACTGGAAAGGAACGCCGTGATGTCATGAGACCTACCATCTTACCATCCTTAGCCCCTGCCCTCCTAGCCTTTGGAACCACCCTGAAGATACGATGATCATAGCCAAGCAGTGGCCTCAGCCAGCCTCGTCCTTCTGAGCCCCAGGCTGCCTCACAGCATTAAGTCTCAACCACCTACAGCTTGGCCCAGGCAAACTTCTCTGTGTCCAGGCTTGGCTCCATCTCAGAGAACTTGGGCTCTCTTGTGCTATAGCCCTGTAAGGAGGGAGGCCTGCTCCCTGGACCTGGCTGGATCTCCCCAGCCTCCCTTTCCCTGGCTCCTGGAAGCAAGTCCCAAAGCCCTCACCTCTTTTCCAGCTCGGAGTCTCCCAGAGTCCCGTTCATGAGCTGGTTGGGGGTCCACTTCAGAGTTAGACTCTCTGCAGACTGGTGCAGGGAGAGGTAGCCAGGCACAGCTTCCATGTCCTCCTTCTACAAGGAGAGACAAACCAGAAGATAGAGACAAGGAGAGGTGAACCCAGGGACCACTATGGGAATGGCTCTCAGTGGTTACAAGGGGAAGTCCTGATGGGCCTGTCACAAAGGCAGGGCACAAGGAAAGGAAAATAGGGCAGCATGGCAGCTCTGGGCATCTCTGCTTCTGCCTGGCCTTGTGCCACTGGCTCTATACCATCCGCCTCCTGTATGCCAGATATATCCTGGGCCAGCCATACCCAAGCTGTGCATCTACCCAGTCTACTGGCTGCCATTCCTACCCTTGGATGGCCTAGGTATCAGCCAGAGCAGATGCCATTCCTAGCTCCTGCCAAGTGAGGCTGGGCATGAATTGAATGAAACAGAGGTGGTGGTCAGAAGGGATCTTCCCCGAACACCTCCCACCCCCAGAGTTCTTTGGCAAAGCTCTTAGAAGAGGAACGACTGTGTCTAGAGGTTTCCAGTTCTGGGACCTGCAGAAGTGGGAGGCTCTGTGTGTGGGAGGCTCTGTGTGTGTGTGTGTGTGTGTGTGTGTGTGTGTGTGTGTGTGACTGAGCCTTCCTACCGGTTGCACCAGCACGTTGTTCTTGCCGTAGAGCAGCCGCGTCCTCGAATTCTGGTGCAGTGATTCCACGTACTCACGGGCGCAGGCAGCCAGCCTGTCCTCTGATGCACTGCCACTTGAGTGGCGCTTCCGGATCTGCACAAGAGCCACGGTTTAGCCCCTGACCTGGGGAAAACCCACTGAGGGCTGGAGAGCCCTCAGGTTTCTGTGCTAATCCGACCCTAGGGTCTGCCCTGATCTGTGTGTCCTCAGTCACTGTGAGTTCCAGCCATGAAGCAGCAGGGGTGTACCTGGCATTTCTGTAAGTCCTAGTGTGAGCAGAAGGCTCTCACGGGATATCCAGCAGGTCAGAGTAAGTCTAAGGCCAGTTTACCCACCCCACCCCACCCCCATAGACACACAGGCACAGACTGAATGATCACAGTCATGGAGAGGGGACACCTACCCCCAAAGCTGGGCGTTTGGCAGGAGAGTCCTGGCGATTGGGCGGACCGCGGATGCGGTGCCTCTGGACCAGCTCATCGGCAGAAGGGTCGGTCCAGTAGTGATCAGCTGTCTTGAGCTTTGTGTATTCCAAGGCACAGGGCCCCACTGTGAAGACAGGGTTGGTCAACTTAGATGGGGGCTCTGCTGGCACCTGCATCCTTGGCCCAGTGGCCATGCATGGACCTCTGTTCTCAGGCTCACCTAGAAGAGAGGCCAGGATCGGGCCAAACACAGGATCTGCTAGTAATGCCTCCTTCTCGTAGTACTTGCTGCCAAGAGAGACACAGAGGGTGACCATCAGGGTTTCTGTACTCATGCCAGGTTGGTCAAGCTCACCAAGTAGGGATAGCTGCTTGCAAAGACCAGATTTCTCCCAGTCACAAAGAAGAAATGAGTCTACAAGGGTGCCTAGTACAGTCTGGGCTTCAGAGGCTAAAAGGGGAGGTGGAGGCAGGCCTACAGGGTGTCATAAACAGGCATCCCAAGGGGGTGGGGCTGGAGGGCTGTTCAGGAGGGAGGCTGAGGAAGAGGTTGTTTGTGGGATGGGGCAGTCACCTGTAATTTTCCGCCAGGTACTGTACAACCCTGTCCAGAACTTTCTCGATGAGCGCTGTGCGTACCCATATGTGTTTCAAGGCTTGTGGGCTGAGGGCTGGGGCCTTCCCGCTGGCCGAGCCCTGTCTCCGCAGGGCCTCTTGGTTGCTTCCTGAGGGCTTCCTACAAACAGCAGAGGACTTCAGGAGAGAAAGGCCCAGAGGTCAACCCTAGGTCAGAGACATTGGGTTTGAACCTTGGTGCCACTAGACAGGAGCCCCCAAAGACTGACAAAGGCAGGGAGGTAAAGGTAGGGTACAGACAGCACCTGGCAGAGGCCAAGGCCCACCCTCAGGCTAACCCTTACCCAGAGATCAACATTCAAGGAACAGGCACTGGAAGCCAACCTTTGTGGGTCATCCTGGGGAGCAGTAAATACCAAACCGAAACAGCAGAAGGGAGGGCCCAGGGCTTACCTGCCGTCTACTTGCTGTTGCAGCTCCTGGACCTTTTGGCAAATCTCCCCAACCACTGGGCACGTCTTCCCCACCTTAGTGAACAGGGCTGCCATCTTGTCACTGCGCAGGAACCCAGCGGCACGGCGCCTCAGCTGATGCAGAAGGCAAGCCTCCACTGCCCCTGGGCCACAGAGAACAGCACCTGAGCCTGGGCCAGAGCAGGCATGCGGGGGAAACACTCCACTTTCCCACACCTGTGAACAGGCAGGCGCAGGCCAAGGACATGGACCCCATCTTCCTAACATGTCCTCCTGCTCCCCTTTCCTCCACGCCTGTCCAGTGTGGGCCTGAGAGCTCCAAGGTACATGTCTACATGGAGAGTACAGAGCGAGGCCCCAGGGAATGTGAGGATTGCGGCCCTTCCAGCTTGGCCTGGGTGGCTCCACTCCTGACCACAAGGGCAAGTAGGGACAGCACCTATGAGATAAGGAGACACAGCGTACACTTGCCCAGCAGCTGCCCTTGTAGACAGCGTGATGATATGGTTGCTAAGGAATGAGGTTCTGGAGATGAAATATTAATGAAGCCTTTGCAGAGATCAGAACCGACAGTGACCCCTGGATTACTGATGAGCCCAGGAGTTGAGAGGGATTTTTTTTTCCTTGCTGGAAGGATGTCCCTTTATTCATTCAAGCTTTTAGGGGCTAGACTTAATCCATCTGGAATCCTGCTCACCATGGAAAGATTCCTCAAAACGAAAGGGCTTGGTGAAGCAGGGCAGAGAGCTCTACTGGACTCACACAGGTTAGTAGGTGTGTCGGGGAAAGGTGGGACTTGGCACTGTTGAGGCCAAGCTGACTGCTTTTCAGATGTGAAGGGGAAGGTCAGAAAAGGGGAAGGGTTTTGATCACAGCCACACAGTGGCAGAGCCAGAACCAGGAGCCAGGGCCCCCATCCCTGGCCTAAGTCCCCTTCACTACCTCTAGGTGGATTTGGGGGGCACAAGGGCTGGGTGAGTTAGGAGAAGGTGCTTCCCTGTTGCAGATACTCTTTTTCATGAACTGGGAAGACAGAGCTGTGCTGGAGAGAGGGACTCAGGCACAACAGGGTCTGACCTTGCATTGGCTGTGTATTGCCTCCGAGGAATCTGGATCAGGGACTTAAAACTCTGAGCCTCAGCTCTGCCATCGGGGATGGGGGAAGCCCTACTAGGACTGGCATGAGGCAGGGCGCAAGGGTATGACATGAGGGGAGGCCTCATGTGGAACCCTTGGACAGGTGCACTCCAGGGAGGCACTCGCATCCATACCAGGCCCTCAATGCTCAACCTTCATGGTCACAGCCTGCTCCACAGTGAATGTCTAAGGGCAGGGTTTTCTGTAGAACCTCTCCTTGGTGGGAAGCAAGGGAGAGAGAAGGAAGAAGAAGAAGAAGAAGAAGAAGAAGAAGAAGAAGAAGAAAGAAGAAAGAAGAAGGAGGAGAGAGGAAGAGAGAGAGAGAGGGAGAGAGAGAGAAGCAGGTTACCTTGAAGGTGTGGAGAAGCTACTCTCTTCAGAACAGGTCAATTCAAGTTTATTTTGACCAGTACTGTTAGAATATGTGATGTGACTTAGGGAATAATTACTGAAAAGCAGAGGTACCTTGACTTCATTTTCAGGAATTGACAGAGTCACTACTGTTCTACCCTGGAGTTGTGTGTGGCACTCTCTCCTGGATTGAAACCAAAAGGCCCTGGGACCCCCCAGGACAGCCAGTGCAGAGCACCCTGGGAGGGGAAGCAGGCTGGAGCCCCTTGCGACTTGAGCCTTCCCCTCACAGCGTTTACACATCTGTGCACACATGTGCATGCGGACAGATGGACACCCACATACCAGGCACACGACAGGCACATGGGGAAGTCTTTGTGACTTGTGCCCACACATTCCTCTCCATGCCAATCTCCCTACCCCCATCCTCGTGTCCTGCAGGTCTTATGTGGTCCTGGGAAGAACTGCAAAGTGACTCTTTTGTCTCAGTTTCCTGGGGCTGGGGCTGCTGCAGTGACAAGCTTACACCTGTGGGGAGGCAGTCGCCATTTCCTGGAGTTGTATCCACCAGGCTGACTGGGGAGAGAAGCAGCACTGAAGAGAGCCAGCGTGGCAGCAGGTGGCAGCAGTCCTGCAGGGAATCATGTGCCTCTGTGTGATGTGACTAATTGCTGGGATAATGAGTCATTAGCCTTCCCACTTTCCCTAGGCGACTGCCAATGCGGTGAGGCCTGGGAGCTGGGGTGGCTAGCCCTGGCACTCTCATCCCACCTGGCCTTAGCCACCTTCCGGCAGTGTCAGCATGGGGTTATTTCGGGTGAATGGAGGAGTCCTCAGCAATGACTGCAATTGGGAATACTGAGAGAAGTGCAAACATCACACCCAGGGCCCCAGCTTCCCTCACGCCCTGTGTTGTTTCCCCAAGTAAGATGCCAGGCAATGTCTGGAGAAGGAAGGAATCCCTACACCCCTTGAGACCACTGCTCCTGGTATTCCTGAGCCAGTGTCAGCGGCCTCCATAGCTAGCGACTGTTTAAACCACACGTGTCCTGCTGCATTTCCACACCGCTATCCCCTCTGAAAATCGGCATATGGGATGAAAAGTGCTACTGTGTGTAGCATGGAGGCAAATAATAACAATAGTTACAATTGAGAACTATTATCCTGAGGGGGGTGGTTCTAGAAGGGCTTCTAGGGTTCAAAAGATGCTCTAAATTGTGTGCACTCCACATGCAAATTATTGATGCACTCCAGAAAGCACAGGTGACTGGGTGGGTTTGTTCCCCCCCATTTAGGATCCATGGCTTTCCGCTTCTACAAGAGGGTCTCTGAGCCTAGAAGCTTAAGAACCTCTGCAGTGATTGACGTACCCTCTCAAACACATAGAGGACATCACACTGAGAGCAGCCTGCAGAGCTACTGGCAATAGGGTCCCTGACCCCCTGCTGCTCTGAACCTGCTCCCTGGGAAGGCCTTCCAGTCTGATGAAGTAGGACCCCAGGGAGAAGTGCTCAGAGAGGCCCAACCTCTCGACTAACAGCCTAGCACAACTCTAGGGCCTTACCCACCTTTGTGTTAAGGTCTGTTCATGACTCTATACCCAAGGGAGAGGGCCATGGCAGAAGATTCACACCCACAGGCTAATGCCCAAGTAAGCTGACCCCACTTGCCTGTTAACTGAGCTATGTGGGCCCTGGGTCCCCAGCCAGGAGGGCTTTGGGGGTCCCCTGTCCCAGTAGGTCTGGGCATGACCTATAGTCATCTGGGTGTACCACAAGGTGACAGCCCTGACATCATCTAGTTCATTTCATATGGTAAAGATATATGCTAATTAGTAAAGAGCAACATGGTCTAAGGTAGAACTATGCAGGCAAATGCAGTAACACTGAGGAACTTAACAAACAAGATCTGCTCACTGCCCTCCCTGATCCTCTGATGAGCCCAGGGGACTGCTCCACATCAGGGCGCCTGGGTTTGGTTCCTAGTTCCAGCTCCTCACTCCAGCTTCCTGCTAGCACAGACCTGCAGAGGCAGCAGTGACAACTCAGGCAGCTGAGTCCTACCACCCAGGCAGAAGACCTGCACTGAACTCCCGGCTCCTGATGTGGGGCCAATCCCAGCCATTGTGGGCATCTGTGGAGTGAACCAGCAGATGGGAGCTTTCTCTCTCAATGAGTAATAAGAACTAAAAACAAAACAACAACAGCAACAAAAAAAAAAAAACCCAAGGATACAAAACACACACACACACACACAAACACAAAAAGGAAAGAAGGAAGATGGGACCAGGAGAGGAAACTAAAGCTATAGTTGCCAGGAAATGCAGCGGAGGTTGGGCAGAGGTTCTCAGAAACATGGCTGGATGGAAGGGTCCTCTTGTCCCTGCTTTGCTTTCACAGAGGACTGCTGTGCTCAGCAGCTAATGGGCCTGAGTAAGGTCAGCCCCATTCCAGCCTAGTAACAGTGGGACCCACAGGCAGAACCTTAGAAGACCAGCCTTACGTGGCTGAGGCTCATAAGCACGGCACCCATCATCAGTGAAGCCTGACACAGTGCTTGGCCAGGGTGTTTGGCAAGGAGGGGAGTGCACAGCAGGAGAATGGCTGAGGCCAACAGAGCTGCAGCTTGCCCACCTCTGACTGCATTCCATCCTTTCTTGCCAGCTGCCATTTGTGTGTGTGGTGGGGGGAGGAGTTCAATAGAACAGTAAGCCTGTGGTGGTCCACGTGGGTTCTGAGGCTTTACAGCACAACTCAGAACAGAATTTTCCAAAGCTGAATGCCCCCGGATAGAGGTATCAAGCTTTCTAAGTAAAGGAGGAACAGCCTCCCCAAAGCTTAAGAGCTGAGCAGCCTCTCCACAAGCAGGTGCTCAGGAGAGACGCCCCTGGAGCAGCCCGGGTTTCATCTGCACCAGACAAGGTGGGAGGAGAAACGGGCGCTGCCAGGCGCCATCTGCCCCTCTCTTCGCTACTTCTCTGACTGGCTATTTCCACCCAGGGACCTGGAAGAGTTGCCTTCACACAGAATGAGCATTTCTATGGTAACCAGGGTTACAATTTCTCTCCTTCTGCAATGGAGATACTGGCTGTTTGTTTCAACTTTGGGGGAACACCTGGACTTGTATAACTCCCTGAGTAAGACAGGAACACTCAATACCAGGCTTGGAGTAGGATAAAGACCTGCCCTGATTTTCTGGAACCAAGGTGAGAAAAATGAGATTCAAGGCTCACATTCTCCTTGTGCCTTGTGGGGCAGAATCTGCAAGCCCAATGCTCACAGAGGTTTCCCAGGGAACCAGGCATGGCCAGCCTTCTGTGTGGTGGGCAGAAGTGTGAGTGCATCACCCACCCGTTTCGGCAAGGGACCCGCTGTCTCCCACCAGCACGTCTCTGGACACTGAAGGTCCACTGTGGGATCTCCAGAGCAGGTTCTCCTTGACAGCCAGCAGGGCAGTCCCTTGGTCTGTACTTATGGGCCTCATGGCATGGCAAGCCCTAGGCAGCACAGAGTTGGTAGCCAGACAGATGTGGGCTCCACAGTGGCTCTCCTCCTTGGGAGCTGTTGGACTTTGGGAAAATCACTAAACCTCTCTGTGCTTCAGCTGCAGTTATGGAGAGCAGGTCCTAGGGCTTTCAGTGGATGTGGGGTGACTC